ACAACACCGAGGAGAGTTTCTTGAAGCTCTGGATCAATCGGTAGACCCATTCCGCTGTCCCAGACCGGCTTAATGTGCCTCTGTCGTATCCAATTGCCGATACACTCGATCATCTTGATGGTGGTGCATCGCAACCGCAATCTGTCCCATGAACAGGTCCTTCGGGCCCCAGAGAAGGTCCGTTCTGGCTCTGATGATTCTGCGGGGATAGAGAGAATAGCCATAGCCATGCAGCTAAGCCCTAGATAGCTGCAACGCTGCTCAGATTAACACCACCACTCAAGAGGAGTGACTCTGTCTTTCAAATTAATAGCTGGGCTATTAATAAAGCTCCTAAAGTTGTCATCTGGCTGTAAACTAATAGTCTTTACCTTTGTCTTCTGCTTTAATAACATGAAGACGTTCACAGGCTTATCTAGCTGTCCAGTCGATATACCGGGTACGTTATCTGGAGCTGGAGAAGAGCCTGGTTTACTATTAGGCTTGAAATTGTTTACCTAGATTGTATTAGCAAGTTTAATGGCCGGCTCCACCCACTCTTCTGGCCAGTTCTGGTGTAGGTAGGCGGCTCGCTTGCGCGGATCAAGTAGTATCGCAGCAGCGTATACAGGTGTCTCTCCTGTTTTGTTGTAGTATTTGTCAAGTACGTACCAGCCCATGTTAATAGCTTAAATTATGCGTTTATTATAGTTCTTAGGTAAGGAGTAGTAGTTCTACTAAACGTAAGTACTCAGCTCTATTAAGGGGAACTAGATACTAACCTTCTGCTCCTTATACTATGTTAATAGGAGATCTATAAGCTTAAGTAATTACGCAATTAATAACTTATCCTTCTCCGCGTACAGAGTCGCCAATGTGAATGGCTCTAAAAAGTGAGCAGCCTTTTTAAGGATATCCCAATTGTTAGCTTAAAGCTGATTGTTGCCTAGAATGTCCTTATAGTTAGTTATAAAGCTCTTGATCTTGTCCATCTTCTTTAAGGCTTGTGCGATGACCTAATACTAAGAAGACTATTGTGTCTAATTGTTAATCCTAAGACGTAGACTAATAGCTCTGTCCCAGAGACCCTAGTGGATCGTGGAACTTCAGAGCCAGACCGCAAGATTGTGAAGCTTGCGTAATGTAGGGATGTTCTTAACGCCATTAAAGTTCTTAACTAAGATAATGCTTACATTACTACCTTGCTACTTCTGTTATTTGCTTTGTCTCTTTATACAAGGGCGCTCTACTTTAGTTTGTTTATAATAAGAGGCGAAGACACTTAAAAACTACGCAAGAAGGGCTTCTCTAGCAACACTAGAGGCAGTCTTAAGAGCAGCAATAAGAGCCTCTTAGAAAGACACAAGAAGGAAAGCTTAAAGAGAGAGATTAATAATATAAGTAATACAACAGACTTAATAATGCTTTGCATTAAAGTTAATCTACTTAGATAATTAACTTAATAAGTGCTTAATTAAACCTATAACTAATGTTGTATTTATGCTTTAATTACTTTAATAAAGCTTTTAGACAGGTATTGTTTAATGTTACATTATTGCCTATATAATAGCTAATCTAGAATGTGATATTATATTTTCTAAGAGTATCTATAATAGAAACTGCTTGCTGCTCTCTAGAGTAGCTGTCACGTAGCTCTAGAAGCCCTAGAAGTGCCTTCTAAAGCTAATAGTCTTAATTAACTTATTATGCGCAAACT